CCCCCCCCCCCCCCCCCCCGCAGTGAGGAGAAGGCGGCACTTGTTCTCTCCTGGGAGGATAGTTACTGGCAGATTTCTGCTTCCCTGATCTGTTAGCCTGGTACCTGGGAGGGAACAGGAGAAGACAAAGCTCTTTAAAAAAAAGTGTCAGAATCCCCCAAACAGAGCCTGCGGCTGCTGAGCTGCCCTCTTGAGGAGATGTGGATTCCAGATGGTTGCCTTAGGCATTAATCACTTTCTCCTGAGCCAGAAGAAAATGAAGATTAATAATAATAATTTTTAAAAATTACTCCTAAGGGGTTGCATCTGAAAGAGCAGAGGGCACAGAGCTGAAGTTTGATGGGAGCTGATTATTGATCAGGGCCTGTTTGGTCCTCCGTGATGGTGACCTTGCACTTGCTACACTTGTAAGACCGACCAGCTGTCATGGAGAGTAGGATGGATCTTGGAAGCTTACATCATAGGATATCAGAGCCAGAAAGGGACCTTGGAAATCATGTCCCATCACTTAGAGGTGAGGTTTGACTCCATGCCCAATGTTGTACAGCTCAGTGGAATCCAGAATGGGCCTAGCAATTGGGTTGCCTGGCTCCTGATCCGTTGCCCTCTAGCTGTCCCTTACTCTGTCTCTCAGAGAGGACAGATGGAGGTAAGATCTCTACAGTAACTACTAAAGCTAGGGCGTAACGAGCTGTAATCCTTTGTGGTGCAGAATACAGATCCTGTCAGCATTCAGACACAAGCAAGGTGCTGGGGGCCGGAGGGCCAGGCAGGCTTTTGAGCTGGGCCGTACAGAGTAGGTAGAGTAGTGAGCTCCAGACGGTGCAGGGAGGCCCGTGGTCACCACGCCAGGCGAGGGGAGGTACCGTGAGCAGAGGTGGAACCCCAGCTTTCTGGAGCAGAGGGGAGAGCTCCTTAATTGGAGTAAGGATGCTGGAGGAGCTGGTGGGACAAATTTTGGGACTCCAGAAATCCAGACCAAGGTCTTTGGACTTTCTGTGGGTGACCACAGAACTTCAAAGAGATTTGGCCTCAGAAAATGGCGACTGAATGTGGAATTTTGAAGAGGAGGAGCTGTGCGTGGCGAGACACTGCATGTATTACTTTAGGAACCATCCAGGAAAGAGCAGTCGCCAGAAGGAGGGGGGCCAAAAACAAGACTGCCCTTGAGCATGTCTCCAAAAGTGATGCCTTCTCGTCGTTTCCTTTTTTTTCTTTTTTGCGGTACTCGGGGCTCTCACTGCTGCGGCCCCTCCCATTGCGGAGCGCAGGCTCAGCGGCCACGGCCCACGGGCCCAGCTGCTCCGCGGCATGTTGGGATCCTCCCGGACCGGGGCACGAACCCGCGTCCTCTGCATCGGCAGGCGGACCCTCAACCACTGCGCCACCAGGGAAGCCCTCGTTGCTTCCTTTTTGAAGCAGAATGCTGTCTTGATGGGGGTTGAGACTAGGACGGAAAGGCCTCAGGAGCACAGTGTGGAATAGGGCTCTGCTCGCCCCCAAAGTCTGGGCCCAGCTCCTCACCCAGACCCCCGCCCTCAGCCCACTGTCACGGCACCTGTTCACAGCTCTGACCACTAGCCAGCTTTCCCGCCGGGAAACGGGGGGGACGTGCTGCAGATCCCTATGCTTGAGAGAGTGGGCACTCCGTACCAATTATGGCCGGGCCCAGACTAGGTGTTGGGAATGGATAAGGCTCAAATCGTCTTCACAGAGCTTCGAGTGGTTGTGGGGAAGACAGAACTCATGAGCAGACGCCCATGGTACCCAGTGGTGAGTGCTGTGCGTACGGGGAACACGGCAGCACCCGGCAGGGTACTCACCCAGCTTCAGCTGCGTCTTCACCCGAGGCCGGGGCATGGAGACAGTGTGAGCAAAAGCAGGGAGGCGAGACCCACCTAGGGTGCCTGAGTGGTGTCAGGGCTGGAGAGGAAGGGGTTGGCTTCAAGACACTGTCAGGAGGTAAAATCGGCTGAACACGGGGGTTGGGTGTGGAGTGCCGGGGCCGGCGGTGGGAGCATCAGGAAGTCCCGCCGGTGCTAGCATGGAGGACACCAACTGCTGTGGAACGTGAGGGCGCAGGGGAAGGTGGAGCAGAGCAGACCTGAGGGCAGGTGTGCACAGGCGGAGGTTCCGAGTGCTTGTGGGTAAAGATGCCCCTCGCCTGGAGCCGCTGCAGGATGGCCTGGGGCACAGCAAGGCCACAGGGCAGGCTTTCTGGCCGGGTCTTCACAGTGAACAGTTGCCTCCGTTGGATAGACTTCTGTTCCTTCCCAAAGAAGCCAAGTCTGTGTTGGGGAAAAATCTATCCCAGTCTGTGAGAACACCACCAGCTCTTACCTTAAGAGAAGTAATTAATAAATTCATCCATGGTTATATCTGCAGACAGGGATCCTGGCTTAGCAACACGTGCAAAGAAAGCACTGTGACCCCTTACCAGATGGGTAAATCTGAGCATCTATTTTTCATAAATACTCTGATCTTTTAAACCACTGTCCTCAGTAATAACAGTGAGAGGGCTTCCCTGGTGGCGCAGTGGTTGAGAGTCCGCCTGCCGATGCAGGGGACACGGGTTCGTGCCCCGGTCTGGGAGGATCCCACATGCCTCGGAGCGGCTGGGCCCGTGAGCCATGGCCGCTGGGCCTGCGCGTCTGGAGCCTGTGCTCCGTAACGGGAGAGGCCACAACAGTGAGCAGCCCGCATACCACAAAATAATAATAATAATAATAATAATAACAGAAATTTAGTTGTGTGGTGTTATTCTTTTGAAGCCAGGTCGTGTCACGGGCACAGTATCCTTCTCATCAGTAAAGCAGTTGCTGAAATCCAGCACTAGCGGCACGCTCACCTCGGCGTCTGAGCTGACAGTATACAGGGTGATGCTGCCGCCGTCGCCCCAAGCCCTGGAGTAAGAGGTGTGTTTAGCAGAATCAAGTGCCTGTGACCGGACTTCAGTCTGTGGCGTCTCTTTGTGTCCCCGTGACTGTCCGTCAACTTACTCCGCAGCTGCGGGTCGGATCCGGTCTCTGGGCACACATTTACACATCAGAGCCTGTTGTTTTGCTTCTGCTACACACGACTATAGCCTGCCTCACTCATGCAAATTCATGCTCCTCTCAAGCCTGTCTTCTGTTTTGTGATCATAATGTTTATAACCATGATATTTGCTGTTACTCTAGGTAGAAGGTTCCTGTAAAGTTCGGTTTTCATTAAGCGTTGTTCATTAAAGTTCCAGGAGCTCAACAGGCAGGGTCCGGGGAACACTAGTTATTTTACTCAGGAATGAATTCCTAGGATCCATACAACTGTTCCTCTGTTTGAGGTGGCTGTTGACGTTTGTTTATTTTTTTAACCACTGCGTACTGTGTTTACCTCCGACGTGCTGGCTGCTCACTCAGTTAACATTCATCACTAGAATGTGTGTTGTGAAGGTTCCTCATTCTAACGTACCGATAAACTTTGTTTGCACAGAGATTTTGCTTATGTAGCAAGAGACAAAGACACAAGAATTTTGAAATGTCATGTATTTCGATGTGACACACCAGCAAAAGCCATTGCCACAAGTCTCCACGAAATCTGTTCCAAGGTAAGGTGGGTCAGGGCACAGGGGTCCGCCCTGCTCCTTTTTCCCCCGCCCGCCACTCAGCAGGGAAGGGCGTGTTGAAGGACGGGGGGAGTCGGCACGTTGACCTGCAGGTCGAGCTGCAGGGGCGGCAGGCCGACCGCCAGCCCAGCCAGTGTGGTTAATGCTCTTCCTGCGTGTCAGGCGTCGTGCTAAATGGTACTCCACCTACAAAAGGAGTATGGCCTTGGTGCCTCCCACAGTCCGGGGGGTCTAATAGGTGGACAGCAGTGTGGCGGAGGAGCTGTGTATCCCGAGCCCAGCTGGAAAGCGGGGGCAGGGAGTCAGGGCAGCTTTCCCAGGGCGAGGGCCACCTGATCTGAGCCTGGACCCAGGAAGAAGGGAGGGGGGGTACGAAACCAGCAGGTGTGTCTGTGGAAGTGCAGGCGGCCAGGGGTTGCCATGAACACGTGCTGACGTCACAAGACACACAGCAGCGAGGCAGGGCCGTGGTCACAGTCTCACACTGGTACGTGTCCCGCTCACTCGTACAGAGTCACAGCCTCAGAGTCGCCGCCTCTCCCCCCCCTCCCCCCGCAGAGCCCATGCTGACACGCTCGTCCCACCCTCTGCCCGGCCCTTGTACTTGTCAGGACACGGCTGTGTGATGCAGTGGCTCTGGCTGCTGCAGAGCCCTTCCTTGTGTGGACCTCCGTGTGTTTACTTGAGATGTGTGGCCTGTGGCAGAGGAGAGAGGTTCCTTGTTTGTCTCTTTGCTGCGCAGCTCTTGCGATTTGGAGACGGTTGGAGCTGCGCGCTGTGCCTGGCACGTGTAGAGGGCTGGACACACATGTCTGTCATTCAGGCTTCCTGCTCCTGGCTTCCTCCTTTGTCCAGAATGCCCCACCCTGTCGCTCCAGCCACTCTCGGCTCTCCTAACCATTCTCTCCTGGGCACACTCTGCTTGGTTCCTCCGAATGAACCAGTGTTCCACAAGGGAGTCGACAGAGAACGGACCGTGGCCACAGTGTCCTTTGACCACCAGGGATACATAGTTAATGTTCTCAGCAATCCCATTACCCGCTGGCCTGTGTTCCAGTAGTGGGAGCCAGGTCTCCAGGATGCTGTCCCCAACCTCCTTCAGCCAGGCCTTTCCACGCCCCAGACTTACTGCTTGAATCTAAACACAGGACTTTGCCGCCCCCTGTGTTAATGTCACCTTTCCGGTTCCAGGCTGGCATCGTTACCCAGCTTCACTCCCACAGGTCCTCCCGAGCTCACCAGGCCCAGGTCACGGCCACCTCCACAGCCCAGCCTGGCCTCCGCAGCAGGAGCGGAGCAGCTGTAAGCCACAGTTCCCAAGGGAAGGGTAGGGATGGGAGCTGCCCCAGCCCCAGAATAGCACAGCAGTCTGCTGCTCTGACCGAATGACCGGGACCTGCAGGGTGGGTACTGGTCCAGAGACCCCGTGTTCACCCCAGCCCGTGTGCACGTTCCTGCACGGGTGGCACTGGGGCAGCTGCTTCTTGTGCAGCCCTGAAGCATGCTGCGCTGCCAGGGTTTCGTTTCCTCATTCATTCACGCAGCAAGTGTAACCGAATGCTGCTTATGTGCCAGGCACTGTCCTGAGGAGACAGCAGAGACCAAAACAGAAAAAAAAATCCTTGCCCTGTGGAGCTTATATGCCAGCATAAAGCCCTCAGAACACAGCCTGGCACAGAGTCAGTGCTCAGTGAATCTTGCATTTTACTGTCAGCAGCCCTCCTGCCCACTGACCCAGGCGCAGATCTGGAGACGGGCAGAGTGGAGCTCCGGGGGAAATGACTTGTTCCACTTGGGATGGAAAGCTCGGGCGGGGGATGAAGGTGTGAGTTGCTCTTGCGGTCACTGAAGGTGGCTTCTTTGAGTCCCTAAACCCACAGCACTGTGAACAGGGGTGCGAAGTGATGACTGTCAAGTGAAGGAGATGTTAGTGCCCCCAACAGAGGAGAGGCACTTAGAAAGACGGCTGACAGATTTAAACAGTGTGACCATAACACCAACAGCAATAGCAGCTAATATTTCTGAGTGCTTGTATTTACTGTCAGGACTGAAATTATTTTATCATTAGGGGCATAAATATTATCATCCACATGTGCAGTGGAGGAAACGAGACAAGAGGGCAGGTGACTGGCTCAAGGCCACTTACCGCTAGTAAGTGGCGGGCGTGGAATTTGAACCCAGGTACTCTGTCCCCAGAGCCCTGAAAAGAGTCCCTGAAAGTGGCCATGTGGAAGCAGCGGGGGGATCCCGTTGCCCTGTGTTCCACCGACCGCTGTGGGCCAGGAGGTATACGCGTGACCGGGGGGGAACGTGCGGTTTGTTGCAGTAGAGGTGGGAGCCTGGTAAATGGAAGAATGAATTCCGAACAATCAGGAGACTGTTAGTTACTCTGAGGAACAGTCATTCACTATTCTCCCCAGAGAAAATGGGCACAGTTCTCAAAACGTGCGGCTCCGAGATGGTGAGGAGTCAGGCAGCAGACTGAAGCCAGTTTAACTTGGAAGTGAAGTCAACGCAGACACTCCACTGGCTGGAATAACTGAGGACACGGGGTCTGTAACTGTGAGCCAAAGCTGTGTTTTCTCTCCTTCAGATCATGGCCGAACGGAAGAACGCCAAAGCCCTGGCCTGCAGCTCCCTGCAGGAAAGGGCCCACGTGAACCTCGACGTGCCCCTGCAAGGTAGGTCGGCGCCCCTGCTCCTTTGTCTGGCGCTCTCTGCCCAGGTCACAAAGCGCAGGGTCTCGGACGGCTCCCTGGTGTATCTAGTCTCCCTCAGAATCGAGCTCGACTCAGCAGACCTGGGCCGAGCCTGCACTCAGCACCTCGGGCGCGGCTTAGAGCTGATTTTGTGTCAACAGGGTTAGGCATCAAGGGCCAGGATGAGTTTTGTTGTTGTTGCACAAGATTAAAGAAAAGTATCTTTAGTGCTTTTGTAATTCATGTACAGCCTGGGGTAAGGGTCAGCTAGTTTAAAAATATGTGGGTTGCTATTTTGGGGAGCTCAGTTAAGTCATTTTTCCTGTCTCTGATTTCGCCCTCTATGATTAAATTTCCTCAGGGCATCAACCTCCCCTAATAAATAGAGCACCCAAAGCTGCTACTTAGCACACATCCAAGAGAGAGTCACAGCTTAACACACAGGTTCCAGTTCCTGCTTTCAAATGCTTTCCTACCTAGAAATGAAAGGTGAATGGGATTTTGATTGACAGCCCCAGTGTCTGGTGGAAGAAATGGCTGTTCTTATAGCATGATTGGCACATTGACCTCTAGAAACACAGGACGTTATGTGTCTGTTAGAACCATTGAGAAAAGTGTGTTGCTTTATTCCCTGTAGTAGATTTTCCAACACCAAAGACTGAGCTGGTGCAGAAGTTCCACGTGCAGTACTTGGGCATGCTACCTGTGGACAAACCAGTTGGTATGTGAAACGTGTATTGTCTTTCCACTTTGCAAGCGTTTGGGAGCTCATGAGAGAGTTCACCCTCCCATGGGGGTAGGGTCTGCTGTTTCACTCCTTGCCTTGTCTCGAATCGGACCCTCACACTGTCAGCAGCCAGAGTGCACAGACAGTCCTGATCAAAAGATCAGTACAGGACAGGCTAAGCTCCTCGGATGCATGGTCCCAGAATACAGGGACTTGAACAAAGCAGACCTGATTTCTCATTCACTCACAGTCCAGAGCTGCGTGAGCCAGGGCTGTGGAAGGGCCCTGCCCCGAGAGATGGAAGCCTCGGTCCTGAACTGAGGCTTCCATCTCTGGGGCCGGGGCGCCTGCTTCAGTCCTTGTCACGTGCTGGGCGGGGAAAGGGGGCTGAAGGAACCCTCCTGCTTTCCTGTTAAGGTGTGACCCAAAAGTGCACACAGCAGTCAGCAGTCAGCTCACATCTCAGGGGCAGACTTTAGTTGCTTAGCCATACCATGCTGGAAGGAGGCTGAGAGAGGTAGCCTTTTTCTGGGTTAAAAAATGGCTGTGGGGAAATGAGAACCCTCACATACTGCTGGGGCGAATGTAAAATGGTACAGCTGCCCTGGAAAACAGTCTGGCAGTTCCTCAAAAGTTAAATAGAGAGTTACCATTTGATCCAGCAGTTCTGCTCCTGGGCTTTGTATCCAAGTGAAACGAAAACACGTGTCCACACAAAACCTCGTACGCGAATGTTCACAGCAGCATCATTCATAATAGTCAAAAAGCAGAAACAACTCAAATGTCCATCAGCTGACGAATGGATAAATAAAATACACTTCCACACAGTGGTACTTATTTGGCAATAAAAAGGAATGAAGTATTAGACATGCTGCAACATGGCTGAACCTTGAAAACATGATGCTGAGTGAAAGAAGCCAGTCACAAAGGGCCGTATCCTGTACGAGTCCATTTATATGAGTGGAGTAGGCAGATCTCTCGAGACAGGGCTGGGTGGAAATGGAGGGTGACTTCTGAAAGGTACGGGGTTTCTTTTTGGGGTGATGAAAATGTTCTAAACCTGATGGTGGTGATGGTCGCATACCTGTGAATATACTAAAATCCATTGAGTTTTGCACTGTGAGTAAATTGTATGGTATGTGAATTATATCTCAGTAACGTTGTTCTCCCACCCACCCACCACCAAAAGCAGCTGTGGGAACACCCAGCCAAAGAGCCCCATCGAACAGCACATGCTCTTCATGTCCAGGGGCCGCCCAAACTTGGCCTTATTTAAGTGACAAAGTACAATGAAAAGTGATCAGGGTAATCTGGCAGATGCTGGCTTCTGTTGGGTCCCCTTTTTCAAGGTTCCTTGCTTAGGAAAAGGTAGCATTTGAATACTGTTTATACACTCGGACCTGGGGAATCTTTGTAGAGAGAGGGGGGAGGGAGAGTGATGTCCTGGTTAGACAGGACATCACACACTGCTTCTCTGGAGGTTCTCATGACCCTTCTTTCTGTTGAAAAAGCTGGCATTTCTTTTCTTTTGAGCAATGAAATGCTCAAATGAAATGTCTTGTCTGGGGCTACCAAAAAAAAAAAAAAGACCAGTCTGGACATAGGTGTTACTGGGTGATTTGGGCCCACGTTTATGATTCAGAAATAGCTTTAGGACCTTTTTCAGTTATCCCTTCCATCACAGGAATGGATACCCTGAACAATGCCATAGAAAGTCTTATGACCTCATCCAGCAAGGAGGACTGGCCTTCGGTGAACATGAATGTGGCCGATGCTACTGTGACTGTCATCAGTGAGAAGGTGAGAAGGGTGGCAGATGGAGTTGGCCTGTCGAATACAGTGAGGTTTCGGATACAATAAGCTTCCATGAAACTTAGGCGCATTCCAAGGCTTGGCCTCTGGGGAGTTGTGCCTGCTTGTGATTAAAATAGCCTACATTAAAAAAAAGAGAGACATTTTGCCCTTTGTGCCTGGATCTCTGCACACCTCAGAGGCTTCTATTCTGGCGTTCCTCATTCTTCCTTCCTACGAAGACTGGGAGATTGGAATCATTTGCTAGAGGTGACTGTGTGATACTAGCAGTAACTCACTAATGGGGCTTGGTTTTCTGGCCACTCTCCAGGCTCCGGTATTGACTGGGCTGTTATCTGGGCTTGGGGCGCAGGAGATGCTTCTGTGGTGGAAGGTCCTGTGGTAGCAGGGACCACTGGTCATCTGCAGAGAGGCCAGCATTAGCCTCAACACAAATTATCTCAACTTTGTGGTTGAGGAAACTGAGGCACAGAGAGGTTAAGTAACTGCCCCCAGGCACACAGCGAGAAGTAGCACGATCAGTTTTCCATTCTGCCTCTGTGGGGCATCTGTCATGGAAAGACCGTAAGTCCTTGGTCTGCTCTTGCTTCTGTCCGCTAGCAGCTCACCTTCAAGCCCAATTCAATTTCGAAAGAGGAGTAAGATGCTCACTGACCCTGCCTGCCACTCCAGCCTGCACCGCTGGATTTTCTTCAAGTCTGCAAACATGTGGTGCCTTTTCCTACCTCAGCACCTTTGCAAGTGCGCTGCTCCTTCTGTGCTCTACCCCTTTGCCTTCCCAGCCCCTATGTAGATCTCAATGTAAATGTCATTTCTCCCAACAAAACTTCCCAGCCTCTAAGACCAGCTTAGTTTGCCTGTGAATCAGTCCTACAGCACCTGAGTGAATATTTAATAAGTCAAGATGTTAGTGAGCCAAAAGTCAGCATTATTCTGGATGTATTTTCTAATTTTCAAAAATTGCATATGGCTGCTGCAAAGGATGTGGTGTTCGTAAGAATGAATTCCAAACACTTCTTAACTCGGCACCATATGGATACCAGTTTGCGAAAAAGGAAAAAAAAAAGTATTCGGCAACTTTTTGTTTTACACGGTTTTAGACAGAAATCTGATTCAATGTGCTGTTTAGTTGGGGACGAAGACCTGGATAGAAAGAGAGCCCATGGCTCCTTTCCTCTTGCTTGGTGCTCTGGGGTTTCCGGTGGGTTTGCCTGGGCAAATGGGTTCTGAGCCACTGTACGGGCAATACGGAAAAAGTATACACGACATTGTTCCCACCCACAGTGAAGCCACAGGCTTGGAGTCGAGCAGACAGAGTCCGGAACACACATACCCAGTCGCAGTGTGGTTCAGAGCAGATTAAATGCCGGAACGAGGCACCCACAGCACTGAGGCCTCTCCAGACACATTTAGAAACTTGCCTTTCTAGAAAAATACAGTCCTGTCTAAATTCAGTCTAGCTGTATATTTTTAGACACCATTTCCTCTGTGTAGCCACTCACTCCAAGCAGATTCTATGACTTAAGGTCCAAACGTGTCTGTGACTTTGGCCAGAGCTGCTGAACGGTGTCTCTTGCAGAATGAAGAGGAGATCCTGGTGGAGTGTCGGGTGCGATTCCTGTCCTTCATGGGCGTCGGGAAGGATGTGCATACGTTTGCCTTCATCATGGACACTGGGAACCAGCACTTTGAGTGCCATGTTTTCTGGTGCGAGCCTAATGCCGGTAACGTGTCCGAGGCAGTGCAGGCTGCCTGCATGGTGAGTGAGCCCGCTGCAGGGGTTCGACCCTCGGGCCCCTGCTTTTGTTTAATATGCCGTAAATTAGAGCGGAGTTACTGACTTAAAAGAAGCCAAGTCTGATCTCTAAAGTAATGCCTTGCTGTGTGACACCCTCACTCCTGCGGACAGAATCAGTCGTGACAAGCACTTTGCCATCTTAAGAGGCCAGGACACCTGAAAGAAGCAGGACTGGATGGAGCCAGGCTCTTCTGTAGAGACTCCAGGAACACTGAAAGTAATGATCTTCAAAACCACGGATTGGAGACCTCTTAATTCTTGATCCCTAAGTAATTTCAGTATGTGATCAGGAGATGCTGGTCATGCGTGAGTTGGTGCTGTTTGGAACCAACTCAGTAATTCTTTAAAAATTCAGTGTATTGAATGGTTTTTATTTTAGATAGTTGGTCTAAGTGCATTGTTCTTACATACTTTGTTTATATCTATGAACTCTATTCTTACCACAGCCCTGTTAAGTAGTTCTCTTTTATTTATAACAAAATAGAGGAAAGGACAGGCCCCAGGGCAGAGCTGGTAAGTGATAGAGCCTGCGTTCACCCCCGAGCCTCTGGGTAATAAAGCCAGTGCTCTTTGTACCACATATATGACTTCAAACAAACAGAAACACCTTGTCATTCATTCTGCAAATATCCTTTGAGCTCCTGTCATTCCCAGCACTGGGAAAGTTCTAGTGAGAAGGAGGGCACCGTTTGAATGTAGACATCCAGGCCTGGGCTGCATGGTGTATTCCAGCAACAGGAGGTAGGGTTGCTGGAGCCAAGTGGAAGGAGGCGAGGTCCATGTCCACGAAGGGCCTGTGATCTCATGCCAAGGTGTAACCTTCAGCAGACATTGTTAAGCAGGAGAGTGTGTAGACCACGTTAGGCTTTAAAGCACACTCCAAAAAAGAGAGAAGAAAACAAAGTGGAGGTGGGTTGAAAGGATGGGGCAGAGGTGGGGAGATGACCAGGAGGCCAGTTTACTGGTCCTTAGGAGAGTTGCATCTAAACCAGGAGTGGCAGTGGGGAAAAGACAGGAGCAGGTGATGGAGAAACATCTGGCTGGCAATGAGGAATGCTGACTTTGAAGCACCTGCACTTCATTTAACTCAATCCACCATTTGTAGGCTGGACTCTGGGAAGTTCAAGTAGGAATGACACGATCCTTGCGTTACGGAGTTCAGGCCTATGGGGGAGACGGGTAAACCAGAATTCTGTTATGGGGTAGAAAGAGCTCTAAGTGAAAGTGTAAGACTGCACTGGATGGAGGAGTGACCCGGAGGAAGAAGGTGGCCCTGAAAGCGGGTCGCTCACCAGGTCTGCAGTGAAGGAGTAGTTGGAAGCACACCGTTGAGATACTTGCTCGTTTGTTGGGGGGTTGGGGAGATCCTCACAGTTTTGAGGCTGAGGGAGATGAGCCAGTAAAGCCAGATTGAAATAGGGGGCATATTTGTAGTTGGGCCAAGGTCTTGGTGGTAGATGAAGGGCCTGGGGTTGGGTTAGTGTGCTGCTTGGGTTACAGTAACTTTGAGACCGGCCAGAAGATGCCCGGAGTCCAGGAACAGGTGGAGCTGAGGGCGGTGGAGGGTGTCCTCTGTTTCTTTACAGACAGTACACTGCTAGTTAACAAAGAGGGGAAAGGACAAGGTGGACGGATGACAGAGGCAAAGGTGGGGGACGAGAAGAGAGCCAATTCGCTTTTATTTTAAAAGGCACCTTTGAAACAGAGAGGGGCGGAGGGGGAGGGGGAGGGGAAGGGAAGACCTGTGTTGTGCACTTATTATCTGGCTTCGTTCTCACCACAGTCCTGTGTTAGAGTGCAGTTTCCCCTCAGGTGCTGCGGGGCCAGGATTCTAACTCAAGTCCACCTGCATATAAAGGACCGGGGCTGGGTGGAGGGGAGCAGTGCGGTAAAGCAGTCAAGATGAACCTCCTGACCAGGCGTAGGGATTTGAGATGGGAATGAAGGGACTGTGTGAAGAAAACAGAAAATGGGAGAGTCCAGCCAAGCAAAAATCGATGGTGACTGTTTAGGTATTTTGTGAAATTGTAAAGGATCGTAACAGATGCTTTTAGTCATAAAATGAATGGCTTTCAGCCTTAATTATACATTTTAAATGCTGATGGCAATTAAATAATTAGCTTTATCACTGGTTACAGTTTGTTCTGATTACCAGGCTCATTTTCTCTCCTCTAGAAACAATTTCTACTCATTTGTTTACTATTTTAATTGTATTAGGACCACCAGCTGAAGTGACTCAGCCAATCCAGCATAAGACATACCGGTAAAATCAAACCTTTCTTTACACTCTGTATCCAGCATTTCTAACTGGGTGGCCTTCCTCTTGATTCAAATCTGCATGATTCTCCATCTGAAATATTTATGCATCAGTTTATACAATCTGAAATATCTCTGGCATTAACACATTCTGAATCTACTGAATTTTTAGGCATATTTTGCAGCTGAGTGGTATAGGCCCAGCTGAAACTATTTTGATGAAATTTAGAGGGAGATGGAGAGGGGTCCGCTTAATGAAATTCATCAGGCACAATTCTGATTTGCACTGGATATAACGTAACTAACATTAGAAACTCCGAGTCCAGTATACCATGCTGCGGTACCTGCCCATTGTAAAACTGTGTTTGGAAGTGCGTAGTTTTTTGTTTTTTGTTTTTTTTTTCTTGCGTTATGCGGGCCTCTCACTGTTGTGGCCTCTCCCATTTGCGGAGCACAGGCTCCGGACGCGCAGGCTCAGCGGCCATGGCTCACGGGCCCAGCCGCTCCGCGGCATGTGGGATCCTCCCGAAACGGGGCACGAACCCGCGTCTCCTGCATCGGCAGGCGGACTCTCAAGCACTGCGCCACCAGGGAAGCCCTGGAAGTGCGTAGTTTTGATTGTGATGGAGACCTAGAAACATACTTTACACACAGGAGACGTGATAAGTCGTTTTTCATATGATTGGGTTGAAAGGGGCTAATTTTTTGACCTGTGGGCTATGACAGCACATTGTGATGAGAGTCTTGCTGTACGATAATTCATGCTTTTCACAGGGAAACATCAGCCTGTTTCACAATTGTTCTAAGGAACCTATTAATATTTAAGTAGGTTTTTGAAAATCAGTTTAAAGTGCTTGGATTTTTTAAGTGCTTGGATTAGAATAAAAGCATTTGATACATTTTAACCTTTTAATCTAATTTTGAAGAATTACTTACCTTTGCATTGATGATACAAAAGCAGGTGGATTGTGACTGTTTCTGAAGGATGGAAACTGTCCCTGGTGCCAGTGCTAATGGATTTTTAAAAATTAAATCTATTAAGATTTAGACTTGTATATAAAATATATCCTGAAATCTTAATAATTCTTTTTAAATTAAAGCAGGATGGGAACAAACATTTATGAATGCCTTCTGTGTTGCTAGGCCTGTTTGAGGCATTCTGCAGGTATTCCTTAATCATAACACTGTCTTTTAAGGTCGCCATTCTTTTTTTTTTTTTTTTTATGTATGGATACTAATCATATTTATATATGATTAAGATAGAAAAAAAATAAGTGACCTTAAAAGCAGTGGGATAAATTCCAAAAGAAAAAAAAAAGTATTTGACAAAACACACTAAAATTTCTTAATGTAAACATACATACATGCATGCATACATACATACACACATACATAAAAGTCCAACAAGACTGATGGAAATATTTATAACAAATATACAAATCTTTTAAAAGGCTAGTATAATCTAAAGAATTTATACAAAAGAAAAACAGAAAACAATTTCCCAAAGAAAAAAGGGGTAAAAGACATGAACAGATAATTCACACAAGAAAAATGCACAAATAACTGAAATCATTTTTAAAAATTCAACCTCACTAACGAATACAAATTTTAAAACAAGACACTATGCTTTTGCTTAAAAATACAACTATTTTTAACCTTTTTTTTTTTTTTTTTTTTTTAAGGTCGCCATTCTTCAGCCATTTTACAAATGAAGAAACTGAGGCTCAGAGAGATTTAATAACTTGCCTGGGGCCATACGGTTCACAAATGGTAGAGCCAGATTCAAACCCTGCCCTTTCTACCATGCTGACCCTCACTCGGTTAGCCATAAACACCTACTTCATTACCTGTTTGAGGAAAAAGTTAATAATCTCTCTCCCAATCCTTTTTCTTTTCATTAGCTCTTTGACTATAAGGTATATTCATCGCAGCCTAACAATATAAAGAACTTCAAAAGAATTTAAAACACTCCACATTACGGAAAAAAAATAATAAACTCTTGGATTCATGTTTAGGAGCTAGGTCGTTAACCTTTGGGAGTTAAATATATTTATGAATTAGGATCACATTAAACAAGAAGGGATAACACATTATTAACGACCATACAACTTTCTAATTTCAGTTACGATACCAGAAGTGCCTGGTAGCCAGGCCGCCTTCACAGAAAGCTCGACCACCTCCTCCGCCAGCAGACTCTGTGACCAGGAGAGTCACAACCAATGTAAAACGAGGGGTCTTATCCCTCATTGACACTTTGAAACAGAAACGCCCTGTCGCAGAAACGCCGTAGCTGCATATGTGAAAGGATCCTGTAACATGTGCTGAAGATTGAATAGCTACACTAAAGAAGAGGAGCTGATCTCTGGCCTTCCATTCAGTTGCTGATGCTGTCTTCAGAGATTAATAACTTAACCAAACAGTGTTAGACAAGCATGTTCTCTCGTCTTGCCACCGTCGTGTGATATGAAAAGCATGACTAATTTTTTTTGCTGTCAGTAAGTTACATCATGAGCAGTGGAAGCTCCCTTTCTTACTGTAAATATCGTGAACATTATGTAACTTCACACACAGGGAAGAATGTGGCCACACCCCTCCCAGTGAAGCAGCTGAGTCCTTGGAGTGAATGACACCTGGGTTAGTTTCACTGTCTTCTTGACTGGATCTGTCACAAGCAACTTTTAAGTCCTACAGCACTTTGCCCTGTTTTCAACTTTGGAGTAGACACTGCATACCGGATACCACTGAATTGCTGTAAAAACAGGATGACTAGTTTTTGTTTTGATTCTTCATAAAATCGAACCTTTGGTTGACAAAATTGGCTGTTGGCATCAGTATAGAAACGAACTGGCAACTTTCCTTGACGAGCTCTTTGACACATGGACACCATTTCATGTCTACAGCTGTTTGGGGGATGTTGGGAAAAAAGTGAAGCTTCAAAATTGAAAAACTAAATTTCAGAAATTAAAACAGAACAAAAATAGCCTATCTGTTCAGATGGTTTTCAAACTGATTATTAAGAAAAAGAAAGAGATTAACAAAATTATAATGCATTTTGGGTGGGAAATATTTCAAACTTCTGCCTTATACTGTACAGTGCAGCTAGAGAATTATAGTTCACTATGGCCATTCTCTACATAAACATTAAAATGAAATATTCCTCGTAAGCCTTTCATCCTTAGTTTGATAATTAGCCAATATGCAACTTGGAGTTGAGGAAATGTCATTTTTATTTTAGATCACCACCACCACGTTGTTTTCCACCTCCTAGGTAAATGTTCTGCTAGGATTCTGCATCTAGCTCAATCTTACCTTAATGCTTTTTGCCCAGAAAGCTGTCTGTCCATCATGTATTGTCCATGGCAACAAAGTTCATTAAACTGAACCTTTCTGAATTTATGTATTTAATATTAAAATTTGGGGGGCTCTAGATATATTTTTAAATTTATATTTTTTCCATTTATGTTCAAGATTTAAAAATTTCATATCAGAGCAAAATATACATAGGAACAAAGGACTATTTAACAGGCTTCCCCAAAACAGCACTTTCCTGCTTCTCTATCTATAGATGAGAGACTTAGCTGTAAACAGATCTAGATACTTGTTGATAATGTTTTAAAGAAGTTGCTAAGAAGCTCAATCTAGACATTAGTTTTGTTTACTTTTCAGTGATAAAATTATCATTTTACAACATTGTTGTAAAAGTAATGCTTTATGTTTATCTACTGCTATGTACTTGTCAAAATGGTTTCCACATTCTTATCGTCACATTTGAGCCTTATAGAGAAGGTACTAAACACATCTGAGAAATAAAAAATATGAATTAAAGAGGCTCAGTCACCTAGCCTAAGATCTCACAAAAGTTAGTGAGAAAGCCAGAACTAGGACCCATGCTTCTCAACTCCCAGTTATTAAGTTATGCTGCTTCCACACCAGTCAGTCAGGAGGAGTCTTTCCAAAATTACTCTGGGCATATCCAGTTATTGTCAGGCAATCTTAGGATTCCCTGTATAAGTAGGGAAGTATGTCCAAATTACTCATGCCGTGATTTAAAACCATCACCTGCTCTCAGTTTTCCTGCAGTGTGCCTCAAATGTGTTGTAGAGGACAGGATCTACATGCAGTCCAGAGATAATGTTACATGTGGTAGAAATATTCCTAACTCATGATACTTAGCCACCAGAGAACATGATGGAATGAGTAGGTGGCCTCCTGCCTCTGTTCCTCTCAGAATTCTGGAATTGTTTGCTAGCACCCTAGAGATGCCACTCTAGAAGTGGATTATACTTCTCACCAGCCTATATACTATTCTAAAGTTACCAGTGACATCCTAAGAAATTACTGTATTAAGAAAATCCTTACTGTGCCCTACGAAAAGCTGTTCAAAATTCAATCTTGATGATCTTTCATCTTGACCTCCACAGTGAAACAAACATTTTAGTGTGATAAACTTCAAAATTCTTAAAAAAGTGATCCACTTTTATATTGGACATCTCTACCAGAACCCATTCATTTTTTTTTTTAAGGCATACATATGTTTTCAGGATCAAGAATACTGAGCTAGCTTTAAGTAGCAAACTGATTTATATATGCAATTATAGGATGCATTAAGATGAATGATAGCCTTTACATACTGAAAACTTTACTGCAGAGACTTTGTTTTAAAAATAGCTTTGCATACTAAATGCAATTAATTTTATAAAATTAATTATGTTAAGCCGTATGTTCAGACACTTTCTGCCATGGCCAAAAAGTATGTATGAAAGTATGTGTGTATTTTCTGTGAAAGGATGCTAGCGTTTTACCTGATATTGTAGTGACACTTCAGTTATCTATGCATTCTTTGTATCTGTGATTTGGTAAACAGGCAGCCATGTTCACTATGCCTTGTATGTCTTATCATTTTTTTAATTAACCTGTTAAATACAGCTTAAAATATTTTTATTTATTCTATTTTTACTGAAATATACTGCATTTTTGTGTTAATGTATTATCTTTACTGGATATTATCTCTCAATGTATCCAGGTCTAAGTAATCTCAGTGAACTATACATTGCCTAAAAGGTGGTTTTGTAGTCACATTTTTATTGGAATATGTATAAGAAAAGGCAAAATACTTAAAAGTTCCTTTTATTTTTTAAAAGCAGCTAGATAGACGCATACTTGCCAACTCACATATGTGCTCCTTGGCCGCATCAAGGGGAATAGCCAACATGCCTATGGCTAAAAACTTTACTTTGCAAACTTAAAGCACTGCTTGGTGCTTCGTTTTTATATCCTTCACAACACATGTGAGCTCATCTAAGAGACAGACACATGTCATCCTGCCCTTTGTTTACGCCTGGATATATGATCACCCATAGCTAATTAGGACCATTGTTTTTGTTTGTGTCTGTCTGACTGCATGAAGCGACATTAGACCCATTTCCATTAAAATAAGCTCTTGGTGATAAACTGTTGGCACTGCTACTTTTTAAAAAATTCCACTTTATGATTTTATGACGAACATTTGTACAATTCTACACAAGGTCATTTACTAGAAGCCCTAAATCTTTCCTCCTCTTCTTATATGACACACACCCATTTCATAAGCATTGCAACACAAACTCAAGATTTCATAAACAATGTGAGAAACATCTCCCTAACTGATATTAGCACAGCTTAACTAGTAAAAGCATTAGCTCTCTAGTTTGCCAGGCTTACTTAACTCAATACACAGCTAACGTGTGTTATACAGCCAGTAAAATGAAGTTTATTCCAGCTTCAGGGAAAAGATACTGCTCACACTTTATCAGTGAGAGCACTCCCTGCCATCCAAAGCAGCCTTGTTTATCCCAAAAGAACATTTGGTTTTGCTTTCTGCCCCTTTTGCTGTTGACCACTTTTACACATTTAAATGTAATATGTTGTGAGAATAAACTTAGCTGCATAAAATGTTTGGCTCATTTATCTGACATCAGTCATACATATCCAGGAATAGAAATAAAAGTTTAGTGTCTCCACGCCAGTCATTCTATTTTCAAATTATTCTTATCTCAAATTAAAAGTCATTTTAGTAATGTAAGATTCTGCTTTGATTAGTTATTGTATATTTCCACCTGGTAAGAACTAGAAAGTAACTTTAAATTTTGAATAATTCATTGCATGGTCCTTACCTTGGTACTCAGGAAGGACAGCTGGCATTTTGGACATAGAGGCCTATTCAGTCACCAACTTGATGCTTGTGTAAGCACTCTTTCTAGTGTTAAAAAAGTTCATCTTTCCTTGAAGAGCCTGATACCAAAGAATGAAAGATAGAGCTGTACAGGCACTAAATCCAAATTGAAAGGTGACTAGAAAAACAGCAGTTGAATCTGGCTTAGTTTAACTGTTAGACATATGGAAGATGATAAATAGAATTTAAAGTGTGTACCCATTTTTTGTTCATCTTGCATTTCCCCCAGTAGTTTACCTTTTTCCTCAATCAAAGGCAGTTACTCTCAAAGAGCAAAATTTCATTTGGTTTCAGGTATTACATAGTGGTAAATAATTACACATTAAAAATCTGAATTTGCTATTGGAGTATCTAAAAACCAGTAATTTCCTTACTTTAGATTTTTGCAGCACTTTTCTCTAAGAAGCTGAAAAAAGAAAAATGTCAATGTAATCAATATTCTCCTTTACTAGAATTCTCCCATATTGTTTTTAATCCAAAGTATTTCCCTTTTTAGTCTACCAAAATATTTAAATAATTGATCACATCCTTCTTAGAAGATTCCAAAGAAGAAAACTGCAGGCTTAATGAATGAATGGTTCAATTCAGAATCTCCATATACTTAGAAAAATAATTTACGACAGGATTCATGTTATGAGATACTGAAGATAAGGGGCTAAAGTTGTGATGTGACATGAACCACATGCTGCTATAGAGATCAGAAAAATATCCTGAACTATTTCATAACTGTGAGTTTTCGTCTTATAATAACTATTAGCAGAAAATAAAAATCTCAGACCTGCTACTTTTGGACAATGGAATACTCTTCAGCCTGGGTCAGAGGAAAGATGTAAGGAAAGGGATAAAAGATCCCTGGGATAAAATATCAGCTCTTTACTGAACAAGTTCAGTTCACCTGCACTGGCCTCCCAGAGGCACAGAAGGCTCTAAGCCAGAGTGGGAATAGAAGGAAACCATACTATAACTTTCAGAGCAAATATTACATAGTTTTTGATTTTTGAAAGTAGTAAAATAAGCTGAGCATTTAAAACATTTCTGTATTTTTTAAGAGTCATAATTAACAATTCTTTTGGGATTTAATAAGTTTGGTTCAAGTATAAAAAGTCATGTTTCCTTTCTTTACTGACATTTTACTAGTAAGTGTAAATCTTCAGTTAAAAAAATTTATTACTGCTAAAATGAAATTCACCCTTTTCTATCCTCACTTCAAGTGAGAAAATTATATAATATTAGAGCTGAAATAGACCTAAATATTCATCTTGAAGAGGATAATAGTCTACTAAAATCATGCCACCTGAATTGAAATTTAGGAATTTATTTAACACTATTCAACACAACTGGATTCTGAAAACACAACTTTAAATTCAAACTCTGTGTCTATGAACATGTTTTTAAACAGTAGGATTTACAGTTGTAACATACTTGATTTAATGTCACTTTCTGTTGCCATGATGAAAAAAAAATCAGTAGACCCAGAAATGATAATCATAACCAGTTCTTGGAAGGCAATTGATAATACAGTCAAGATGAACTGACTTTTAATATAATTAAAATAGTGCTACAATATATTTTAACTGAGCATCAGAAATGACTTACCAAAGTTTGATTACTATGTGCCACTTGAAATGACCATCTCACCTGATCTTTGAATCATAAACTTGTATAGATTTCTTCAACAACTGGGGTGTCACTTGTATTCAGCACTTTGGCCTCTTCCTCAGAATTACTATTTAGATGGAAATTTGCTTACAGTCACTTTTTTTACAACAGTGTTTGGCATAAATAGTTAAAAGGGAGAGCTTATGTTCAGTCTGCTCAGGATCCTAGAGGTTCTTCCAGTGAGAAACAGTTTTCACTCTGTGAATGGACAGCTGAACTACTCCTCACACCTAGAACTTTGGACCTTCCTGTTCTTCCTATTCATACTCAACCTCAATCACATTACAAAAGCTCATAACATCTCCTATTTTGATGTTTAAGGAAAAAAAATCAACCTCGATAGTGATTGAAAATGTTAAACTACAGCTGACTTGACACTGAAAAGCAATCTATAGTCCGTGCAAGAGCATCTTTTCCAAACCTATGCTTTCTAATAAACTGCCTCACAAGTTAACTTTGAAAAGAAGTCTGTTCTAAGGCACACAGTGTTTCCCTTCAGGAAAAATTGTTGCAGCTTTAAAACCAGTGTCCTAAGTCCAGACAGAAAGTTAACAAGAGTGAGACAAGTTCTAACAGCCGATACCGAGTCTACAACTGGACGTTCTAAAACAGATCAGCACCCAGCTACTGAACTCTCTGAATTCTGCTTTGCTTAACTCACCTACATTATTCTCACTTGTCTTAATTCACTTGACGGTAATAATCACATTTAGAAGATACTAAGTGACCAAAAGGATGAGTATTTTGTGTAGGGATGTCTAACCTTCAGAGAAATATCAGACTTTGAAAAAAAAACCTACTACTCTTGACCCCTGTAAAAAACACAAGACAGTCAAAGCCATGGTCGAGGATGCCTGGGTAGAGAGGAAGGTAAGTTTTCTTTAGGTTTTTTCCCTCTTCTTGGTATTGATCGTGTGGGAAGATAGCCAGGCATGACAGTCTTGGGCCCAACCCAACGATAGTAAAAATGTTGAGTTGGTATCTGAGATCTGATCCCTTGGGGACTAGAAAATGGCAACATTACTGGAGGCAAAACAATCTCTATGGGTTTCAGTGCAATCGTTCTGTCTTCTGGGCGAGGTCTTACAAAGTTTGTCGTCCGTTCATATGGTCTGGAGGGAGGTGTGTTCTTCATAAATGTAGGCACTAAAGGATTGGTGGTGGGCTTGTTGGATTTTCTGACCTGTGAGGAAGAACCCACTTGATTTGTATTCTTCTGTGGAAGAGATGTTTTTGTTGTTAATGTCCCTGACTGATGAACACTTGCGTTAGTTTCTTGACTCAGGAACTCAGCAATTTTCATCTGGATGCTGCTGCTATCAGAAGTGGAAGATTTTGGCAATGACATTTTTGATTTTTTCTTCTTCTTCTCACGTTTTGAAGGTTTACCCAACTCGATCCCATCCAGTAGACCCTTTGCTGAAGCACGGGCCAAAACATCTTTCACAGACACTGTCTCAGATGGGTCCCGCTATAATTAAATGTGGGAGTTAACTGTTAACTGTGCATATTACAAATATTTATCAGTGTTTCAGTAAAGATAAAAGAATATCTTTGTTATACTAAAAGAAATAGTTTTTAGACCTTAGTCTCTAATATATCCTATAAGCCTCAGGAAATTACTTTCTTTGTACTTAAATCTCCCCATTTGTGAACCTGATAGAAAAAAAAAAAAAAAGAATTACAGAGCTTCTTTCTTTTTCTTTGAATTTTTAAATTTTATTTTATTTATTTATTCTTTTATACAGCAGGTTCTTATTAGTTATCTATTTTATACATATTAGTCTATATATGTCCAGAGCTTATCTCATATATGTGAGCTAAAATGAACTGGATATTGACAAAGTGCTTGGAGAAGTGGGGGTGGAGAACAGGCAAGGGAAAAACACTCAGGAGGACAATAAAGATCAAAATAGGGATTTCCACCATACAATAATAATTGTTTTTCCTGCCCTTTAGCTATTTATGAAATAAGCATACCATTATGAAATGTTCATAAAGTTCCTATGTTCCTATTATGAGACTTTGTTGTTTCTTAATTCCTAAGTATGAAATGGATTGGGATTTTTTTTATCCTTACCTCCCTTGTTAGAACCGAAAGAAAACAACCATTGGTAATTTCAGATGGTTCCATTCTGAAAAATTTGTCAGTGGACAAATGTATTTCCTTTAAGGAGCACAGTGGAAGGACAGGGGGACTAAGCCTGCAATAGATAACAGCAAACAATTAACAGTTAGAATGTCTTATTTGCCAATGGAGGGAGACAGTAAATTGCAACCAATTTTCTTTTATTATGTTTTACCCATTATTTAAACAAAAATTCCAAATAAGAATAAAATGTCAAGGGGAGGGATCAAGATGGTGGAGTAGTAGGATGTGGAGCTAACCTCCTCCCACAAATACATCAAAAATACATCTACAGGGCTTCCCTGGTGGTGCAGTGGTTGAGAATCTGCCTGCCAATGCAGGGGACGGGTTCGAGCCCTGGTCTGGGAAGATCCCACATGCCGCGGAGCAACTGGGCCCGTGAGCCACAACTACTGAGCCTGCGCATCTGGGGCCTGTGCTCCGACGAGAGGGCGCGACAGTGAGAGGCCCGTGCACCGTGATGAAGAGTGGCCCCCACTCGCCACAACTAGAGAAAGCCCTTGCACAGAAACGAAGACCCAACACAGCCATAAATAAATAAATAAATTTATTAAAAAAAAAAAATACATCTACATGTGCAACGATTCTCAGAACACCTACTGAACCCTGGCAGAAGACCTCAGACTTCTGAGAGGGCAATAAAATCTCCACGTAACCAGGTAGGACAAAAGAAAAAAAAAAAAAAAAAAAAGGGAGAAAGGAATCAGGACAGGACCCTGCGCCCCTGGGAGGGAACTGTGAAAGAGGAAAGGTTCCAGCACCCTGTGAAGTCCCCTCACCAGTGGGGTGATCAGCTGGGATGGAGGGGGAGCTCTGGAGCCTCAGAAGAGAGCACAGAACTGGTGTGCAGCAGGCAGAATGGAAAGAGACCTGCACAGACGGTCAGTATCACAGCGTTGCACTCCCCAGCCTGAGACGTGTGTCCATGAGTGTGGGCGGAGGCTGGGAGCTGAAGCTTGGGCTTCGGAGGTCAGACCTGGGGTGAAGACGGGTTGGCTGTGCAGAGACAGCCTGAAGGGCCTGGATTTTGGTATGACTGAAACCAGGCGTGTACACAGAGGAAGCCCAGGCCCACCATACAGGCAAGGTGCCACTGTTGAGGGCACACGAGGGGAGGGGTGGGGCCTGCCATAGCAGCCTCCTTCCCTGCACATGCACTCTAAGGTGACAGGACACTGCCTGCACGAGCTCCAGGAGCAGGCACCAACCACTGCTGTGGGCTCAGGGGTGGGCATGAGCCACTGATGCCATCGCAGGCTCCAGGGGCACGAGTGAGCCACCACCACACTGAGAGCTCTGGGAGCAGGTGCCAGCTGCCACCTTTGCGGGCTCTGGGAGAGAACGCCAGCCACTGCTTCTGCACACCCCCTATCAATGGGATAACAGCTGGCACACACTGAGGAAAGAGACAGCAGGCATCCATACTAAAAACAACGCTTACATCAAAAATATTAAAACCACACAAGCTACACAGGGCTGCTCCTACATATAAACAGCCCTCCAAGACCACAGTAGATAAGTGTTTCTCCTAAACTCACAGAGTAAGGGAAATATAAGTAAAACAAAAAAGCAGAGGGACCACTCCCAGTTAAAAGACCAAGAGAATTTCCCTGAAAGAACAAACAATGAAACAGACCTCTTCAGTCTAACAGACGCTGAGTTCAAAAAGGAGATAATGAAAATACTGAAGGAATTAAGAAAGTTTATTGACAGAAATGCAGAATACTGTAAAAAGGAGCTAGAAACTATAAAGAGGAGCCAAGAAAAATTAAAAACTCATTTGCTGAGATGAAAGCTGAGCTAAAGGCAATGAACAGCAGAATGAATAATGCAGAAGAACAAATAAGTCATCTGGAAGATAGAATAATGAAAATCACCCAATCAGAACAGCAGAAAGAAAGGCAAATTAAGGGCTTCCCTGGTGGTGCAGTGGTTGAGAGTCTGCCTGCCGATGCAGGGGACACGGGTTCGTGCCCCGGTCTGGGAAGATCCCACATGCCGTGGAGCGGCTGGGCCCGTGAGCCATGGCCGCTGAGCTTGCGCATCCGGAGCCTGTGCTCCGCAACAGGAGAGGCCACAACAGTGAGAGGCCCACGTACTGCAAAAAAGAGAAAAAAAAAGAAAGGCAAATTTAAAAAAAAAATGAAAGCAATATAAGACATGTATGGGATAATAAAAAGCTTGCCAATCTACCCATAATTGGGATTCCAGAGGAGAAGACAGAGAAAAGGGGATTGAAAATGAATTTGAAGAAATTATGGCTGAAAACTTCTCAAACCTAAAGAAGGTAACATAAATCCAGATACAGGAAGGAGAGTCCCAAACAAGATGAACCCAAACAGACCTACACCAAGACATATTGTAATTAAAATGGCGAAAGTTAAAGAGAGGATTCTTAAGGCAGCAAGAGAAAAACAAAGTGTTAGTTACAAGGGAACCCCCATAAGGCTATCAGCTGATTTCTCTACAGAAATGTTACAGTACGGAAGGGAGTGGCAAGATATATTCAAATTCCTAAAAGGGAAAAATGTGCAACCTAGAATACTATACCCAGCAAGATTATCATTTAGAATAGAAGGAGAGACAAAGAATTTCTCAGATAAGCAAAAACTAAAAGAATACAGCAATACTAAACCTATCCTAAAAGAAGTAAATAGAAGAGAAGCAAGAATGTATAGAAAAGAGAAAATCACAATTGGAAAGGACTAGGACTTCCAATACTATGTTGAGTACAAGTGGTGAGAGTGGGCATCCTTGTCTTGTTCCAGATTTTAGCAGGAAGCCTTTCAGTGCTTCCTGCTAAATGGCATCGGTGCCATTTATGGCATCGGTGGCTTATTTAAATCACGTAAATAAGTCAGTACACAGATTTTTAAAAAATCAAAACATTTTTGTGAAAATTATGACAATGAACAGCAAAAGGATAAACATGAAGATGTAAAAGAGGACATCGAAGTCATAAAATGTGGGGAAGGAAAGTAAGAAAATGTAGATTCTTTTTTTTTCAGAATGTGTTTGAGCCTATATGACTATCAGTCTAAAGCAAGTAGATATAGGAAGGGGTTAACACACTTGAAAAACAGAATAACCACAAATCAAAAACACACAATAGATTCACAAAAACCAAACAGAACACAAGCATAAAATAAAAGGAAATCATCAAACCACAAAAAGAAAAACAAAAGGAAAAAGAAAGGAACAAAGAAACACAGAATCAACTGGTAAACAAAGTTTAAAATGGCAATAAATACGTATCTATCAATAATTACCTTAAATGTCAATGGACTAAATGCTCCAATCAAAAGATACAGAGTGTTGGATTGGATTAAAAAACAAAAGCCTACAATATGCTGCCTACAAGAGACCCACTTTAGGGCAGGAGACACACATAGATTGAAAGTGAGGGGATGGAAAAAGATATTTCATGCAAACAGAAATGACAAGCGGGGGTCACAATACTCATATCAGACAAAACAGACTTCAAAACAAAGGCCATAAAGAAAGATAAAGATATATTACTATATAATGATAAAAGGATCAATACAAGGAGAGAATTTTACACTCATTAACATATATGCACCTAATACAGAAACACCCAAATATATAAAACAAATACTAACAGACATAAAGGGAGAAATTGACAGGAATACAATAATAGTAGGAGACTTTAACATCCCACTCGTATCAATGGAAATATCTTCTAGAAACTGAAGTTAGACTTAACTGATATTTTCAGGACATGACAACTAAAAAAACCCAGAATACACATTCTTTTCAAGTGCACATGGAACATTCTCTAGGGCTGACCATATACTAGGGCACAAAACAAGCCTCAACAAATTGAAGAGTATAGAAATTATCTCAAACATCTTTTTTGACCACAATGGCGTGAAACTAGAAATCAACCACAGAAAAAGAAATGAGAAAAAAACGACTACATGGAGACTAAACAACATGCTATTAAAAAACCAGTGGGTCAATGACAGAATCAAAGAGGAAATTAAAAAATACCTTGAGACAAATGACAAAACACAACCAAACAAAATCTATAGGATGCAGCAAAAACAGTTCTTAGAAGTTCATAGTGATACAGGCCTTCCTCAAGAAACAACAAAAACCTCAACCTAACCTACCACCTAAAAGAATTACAAAAAGAACAAACAGAACATAAAGTCAGCAGAAGGAAGGAAATAATAAAGATCAGAGAGGAAATAAATAAAATAGAGATTAAAAAACTACAGAAAAAAAAATAAAACCAAGAGCTGGTTCGCTGAAAGGGTAAACAAAATTGACAAACCTCTGAACAGGCTCACCAAGAAGAAAAGAGAGAGAACCCAAATAAACAAAATAAGGAATGAAAAAGGAGGGACTTTCCTGGTGGTGTAGTGGTTAAGAATCCACCTGCCAATGCAGGGGGCATGAGTTCGATCCCTGGTCTGGGAAGATCCCACTTGCCATGGAGCAACTAAGCCCGTGTGCCACAACTACTGAGCCTGCACTCTACAGCCTGCGAGCCACAACTACTGAAGTCCGTGCGCCTAGAGCCCATGCTTCTCAACAAGAGAAGCCACCACAATGAGAAACCCATGAACCGCAACAAAGAGTGGCCCCCGCTCGCTGCAACTAGAGAAGGCCTGCACACAGCAACAAAGACCCAACACAGCCAAAAATAAATAACAAAATAAAAATAAATAAATTTATTTTTAAAAAAAGAAATGAAAAAGGAGAAATCTCAACTGATACCACAGAAATACAAAAAAAAAAAAAACAGAAAAAAAACGGTCAGAGAATACTGTGAAAATTATATGCCAACAAATTCAACAACCTAGAAGAAATGGACAAGTTTTTAGAAACATAGAGCCCACTAAAATTGAATCAAGAAGAAACAGATAATTTGAACAGACTGATCTCTAGAAGTGAAATAGAACCTGTAATTTTAAAACCCTCTACAAACAAAAGTCAAGGACCAGATGGTTTCACAGGCAAATTCTACCAAACATACAAAGAAGAACTTTTACCGATACTTCTCAAACTCTTCCAAATGATTCAAGAGGA